CACAGACGACTTTGCTGGCATCAACCGTAACATCTACAACTTTGGGAGTTCACTTTAATCTCACTCAAGAAAAGTAGATGAAGACAAGACAACAATGAAAGGTTCCTTATGCATCTACAGTTGGTAGCTTAATGTATGTAATGGTATGCACTAGACCAGACATTGCTCATGCAGTGGGAGTTGTAAGTAGATTCATGTCTAATCCAGGAAGAAAGCATTCGAAAGTTGTCAAGTGATTGTTACACTACTTGAAAGGTACTTCTAAAACTGCATTATGTTTTAGAAGAAATGATGTCATTTTGGAAAGATATTTTGATGTAGATTTGAGAGGTTGTTTAGACACAAGGAAGAGTACTACAAGATTTGTCTTTACAATAGGTGGCACAACAGTTAGTTGGATGTCTCGACCTCAAAAAAGCATTGCACTTTCAACCACAGAAGCAGAATACACGATTATTTTGAAAGCCAGTAAGGAAATGATTTGGTTGAAGAATTTTCTTGAGGAGCTGGACAAGAAACATTGTGACAATATTCTTTATAGCGATAGTCAGAGTGTCATTCCTCTTGCAAATAATCTTGTTTGTCATGCAATAACAAAACACATCTAGTTGAGGTATCACTTCATTAGAGAACTAATAAGTGATGATACTTTGTTTTTAGAGAAGATCCTTGGGTTAGAGAATCTTGCAAATATGTTGACCAAGGTGGTTACTACTGAGAAGTTGAAGTTTTGCATAACTTCAACTGGCCTTCATGGCCAATTGTTGAGAAGACATTGCACTAGCTTAAGATTGTTATAACTTTGAAGTTTACTAGATTTACTTTACTTTCGAGTGTGTTTGATGTGATCACCCTCCAAGTAGAAGATTGTTAAGTATGTGAAGTTTGAAGGGTTATTGGATCTGACCCATTTACTTATTCTTTTATTATAAGTACTCATATAATTGTAAATCTAATTAAGTAAATGAGAACTATCATCTAGTGCAGTCGTGGACATAGGTCATTTTACTGAACCACTTAAATTCCTTGTGTTCTTGTTATTTACTTTCATCTTGTATTTCATTTGTGTTCCCAACAATATATAGTTTTTTTATATGAAACTTTGATGAATGTTATATATTTGTGATTTGGTGCTATTAAGTGTCATGACATACTATTGTTATGACATAATGACATGCTTAAATAAAATTCTTGAATAATTATTATGACATAACGTCATGCTCAAATAATATTGTAAGATAATTGTTATGGCATAATGACATACTCAAATGACGTTTTTCAATAATTGTTATGGCATGATGACGTTATCGAATATTTATTATATCATAATGACATGCTCAAATGACATTCTTGAATAATTGTATAACTTGGATGAATATTTCTCGAATAAAAACTAACTAATATGATATATAATTAGGATGAATACAACTTGGATAAAACCTAGTTCGATTTTAATGTATATTGATGTGTTGTGATACCTACGTCCAATAATGACGTATTATGAAAATTACGTTTAGTGATGACATGCTGCTACTATGAATTAGTAGGATGGAAGCGTTGATTTGCTTAACCATTTCTTTCTATATAATTATATATTATTATGATGAAAGCATAAAACTTGATCATCTTTATGGAAGTGTAGAGCTTGACCATTTCACTTTAGACTTTGCTAGGTAACTGGATCGACATGATAAAAATGTTACAACTTGACCATCTCTATGAAAGTGTAGAGTTTGACCATCTTTATAGATGGACTATGTTCTGGTCATTACAAGAAAAATAAAAATTACCGACAGACAAAATCCAGTCGAAAATATTTTTATTATTTATTATAAAACCTATTTTTCTAGAGATATCTTTGAATTATAATTTAGATTAAGAAAATTATCACTGACAGGATTGAACCTAGTACCTTAGAGTTGAAAGTCGATACTTCAACCACTAAGCTACCAAAATTTTTTGATTATAGTTTACAATAAATTATATTTATATACAAATAAATGTATATTCAAATAAATATATAAATACAATATATTTATATTTTTATATATTTTATATTTTTATATTTATATATATTTGTATATTTGTATATTTGTATATATTTATATGTTTATATATTTATATATATATATATATATACACATATATATATATATATATATATATATATATATATATATTTAGATATTTTTATATATTTATATATAATTAAATATTTATTTTTTAAAATTATTTAATTTAATAAATTATTATAAATTAATCTAATTATGATTAAATTAATTTATTAAATAGAAAAAATATTTAATTTTTTAATTAGGTGAATAATTAATTTATTAGAATATATTTAAAATTAAGTAATTATTATATAATTTTATCGACGGATAAGTAATTGTATCGATGGATATATCCGTCGGTAATTAATTATTAATTTATCGACGAATATATCCGTCTCGTAACTAATTATTAATTTACCGACGGATATATCCGTCGGTAAGACTAATTTCCACAAATACTTTCTATCCGTCGGTAATAACTAATTTTCCGATGGCTACAAATCCATCGGTAAAAATTCGTCGGAAATAAGCGATTTTCTTGTAGTGGGTATACTCATGAATTTTCCTTTTGGTGTAGTTATTAACACTATTTAAAAATCATTTTCTTGAATAACTTTTGTAGCTTATATACCCCATTTTGTAAGAGTTAACTATATGAATCATGTATAAATTTACTTTGTTGGTGTGGTTATTGATAGCCTTCTATGTTTGAGGATAATTTTTTAATAACTCTTCTAGCTTATAAGCCTCATTATGTAAAGAGTTAATTATAGGAATCATATATGAATTTATCTTTCTATTGTGTCTACTGACACACATTTATATTTGAGGATTATTTTCTTTGTAAGTAGTGGGTTCTTCTTGCTCTTTTGTAGAGAGTCAAATCTTTTATATTGCATGAAATATTTTTCTACAATATTTATATCATACCAAAGAAATATTGAACAAATATTTATACCATATTTGATCATATAAGATAATATTGAAATTTTATCAATATCAAAATCAATATCTATTATGATTTTTTTAAAATCACAACATCCAAGTATTTTAATTTTAGTAATAAATGATATATAAAACTACACATATTTTTGAATTTGTAATATTAATATCCCTTGATGACAAATTAAGAATAATGTGTGATCTCTAATACATTTGATATATAAATTTGTGAAGACAAATTTAATAATACAATTATTGATAATATAGTATATCATAAAAATGAATATTTTTTCTTAATAAATATATATTTTTTATATGAAATGAAATTAACGATATTTATGAATTATGTAATCACAATTTGCATGCTTAATGAAATAATAATAATAAAGAATCAATAGAAAAACATATCATTAAATATTGACGAATTCACATTATATATTTATGCATTCACATGGTCATTTAAATTTATATTAGTGAGAAATATGTAATTTGAGAAAAATCTAAGGCAAAATATTTTATATTTACGGTATTTCATTATATATGATGGATAATAATAATATTATTGTGAATATTTTATTTTGGATGATCTTTCTAGAACAAGATATTATATTATCTGTTGTTATAATATTAACCATCTATATATATATATATTTTTTTTTTCTTTTTTTTAAGATCTTTTTATTTTTATTTTAATATTTGTATTTTATCTCTGTTATCATAATATATTTTTACAAGAATATTGAATTAAATATACTTTTTTTCTTTTTTTTAAGATCTTTTTATTTTTATTTTAATATTTGTATTTTATCTCTGTTATCATAATATATTTTTACAAGAATATTGAATTAAATTTATTAAGATTGAATAAGAGATAAAATTATTTTCTTTATACGCGAAAGAAATTTTATTTCCTCCTATTAAAGGTTTCAAATAATTTAAAAATATAATTAAAATATATATTTATTTTCTAACAACAATTATTATTCCTTTGTTACAGAAAATTGACAAGAAGATTTAATAAAATATAAGTCCTCCATTTATATGAATAAAAAAAATATTTTTTCTATTCGTATCTAATATTTGTATAAAAAATTTACAATAATAAATAAACTTAGATGAATAATCACTGTCACTTTAAAATTTATTAGATTGAGTTTTGTAAAATATTAAAAATAAAAAATCCATCCATACGGAAAAACACTCTCATTATATTAACAAACACTCTCATTATATATATTTAATATTAATTATGATCAAAGAATTAAATAATTAATTATATGTTATTACTATAAGATGGATTGATATGCATTATCTAATAAATATCATAGATTTAGAAATCTGAAAGTACAAATATCATCATGATCCTCCTTGTTCTAAAACATATGTATAACTATATTTTTATGAATTAATATCACGACTAAAATAAATGCAATAAAAGAGGCATTTGACAAATAATTTATAATTAAACTATATAAACATTTGAATTATATAAATAACATAAACGTATTTTTAATATAATAAATAAATAATTCAAATATATAAGTTATATTATAATTAAGTTTTTGAATAAGTGAATATCTTTAAATCCATAAGTTAAATTGTAGATTAATAATAAATAATTTATATCAGAATATAATATCGTTTTTAATTAAATATCTCTTTTAAAAAATACTAAAATTTAACTGAAATATAAAGAAAAATGCAAAGAGATAAGAAGCAAACGAAACACTTCACAACAGGCTAAATTATTAACAACTACAGTGGTTTTTCTCTTTTTCTTCTACCACGGCCAGGTTGTTCTGTTAGTTTCAGCGAAGGACCAAAACCCTGTAAAAGTGTGTTTTTGGTCTGTAATACTAAAACACCAAAGAGTTTGTTTGATTCGCTGGCAGCTACAACACAACTATATCATCACCTTTTTCTCCATTGATTCGATTGAAGTTTGAGCACAAATTAAGAGACATTTGTTGGCAAAGGAAAGTGAAATTCAGATCAGACTAATCGATGGGTAATTTGTTCGTGAAGAAGCCAAAGATAACAGACGTGGATAAAGCAATCCTCGCTCTGAAGACCCAGAGACGCAAACTCGCCCAATATCAACAGAAGGTTTCCCACTCTTTCCCAAAATAATTTTTTTTTTCCTTTGTGATTGAATTTTATCATTGACGGACAATAGGGCAAAATAATGAGCAGTTAAGAGGCACATAAATTAATTTGGGTCTTTTCGATTTTTTTTTCAAGGATAGCTCCGATGAATAAATGTTGGCCTCTCTGAATTGTATTTTACAATTATGCATACAATCACTCTGTTTGCTGAACCCCTCTAACCACATACACCAAATAACAGCAAATATTGCACGCTTTCATAGAGTTATATTATAACCTCTTATCCATGTTAAAGCCTTCGAAACTAACTAATAAGAATTGCTGCAAAATCAGTGGGCAGGTCCTGTTATGTTCTAATCAAATTAATGATATCTACTGGCAATTTAAGAAGAATAAATAAGCTGAACTTTATGATCGTTAGTTTTTTGTGAATTTGTAATTAGGGGGATGGATAATTAGAAATAAGGCATATTGTCTCTAAATAGGCAACTTGTCATTTGAGAGGATCGAGCCCTTTGGGTATTGGGTGACTTTGATTTTCTGCAATTAGTTTGTAATCATGGGAATTTCCTCTTTTTTTCTACAAATTTGATCCAGTTTCTATCACTTTCCAAGCTAGACCAACAAATTTTTTTTTCTAATCATTAGCATGTTTTGAACTCTTTTGTTTATAGAACATGCTTCTTATAGAAGTTGTATCGTGGTATGAGATTGAGAATGTGTGGTTCATTCCTTCATGTTAGTGTTGTTAAATTGTCGCTATAGTGCTACAGCATTGTGGAATTTCTTGAATCCGCGAATGCAACTTTGTGGGCTATCGCAGCCATCATCTGTTGTGGTTCTCGCTTCCTCTTAACCATCTCTTACAATTCTTCAGCCTATTGATCCTTTTGAGTTAATATAATGCTAATTATATATATATATATATATATATATATATATATATATATATATATATATATATATATATATATATTGAAAGAGAGGAGGGATCTACTTACTCCAAAAGTAAAAATTACAGACTTACTCTGTATTCACCATTTATTTTTTGGTAATCTAATGGTTAAAATGAGTTATTATTTTAGATGATTAGATAACTCAAAAATGAATGGTGAAGATGAAGAGTGAACGTCAAACTCTTGTTCTTGGAATAAATGGATCCCTCCTCTCTCTCTCTTATATATATATATATATAAGCTATCATGTGAGTTCAGCCATATGCCTGCAACAGTATTTTCTTTATGATACAGCAGATTACTGGCTTTTCGCCATTTTCCACAAAATTGATAACTTTACTTTTCATGCATGTCTTTTGTGATGATGTTTAGACAGGCATTTATTTTATTTTAATCGATTGTCTTCCTTTGTTCCTTGTACATTTGTCTCTTACTCCATGGTAATTCAGTAAGATTTCTAGCTTGTCAAGACTCGTAATGCTTGTGAATAAACTTCAACAAAAGGCAAATAAGTATGATGAGAGTAAGAGTAGCCATTTGAATTAGATTTTCTGTTAGAAAGTCAATGATGCTTACATTTTTTATTTTTTGTCTAGTCGATTTTGATAACAGTGAATTTTAGTTAAGTACTGTGGTACACCCTATACAATGTGTTTACTGAAGTTATTTTGGTTTTTCTTATCGTAACTTGTTTTCCAGCTTGATGCTGTTATTGAAGCAGAAAAACAGGCTGCCCGTGATTTGATTCGTGAAAAGAAGAAGGACAGGGCTTTGTTAGCACTAAAGAAAAAGAAGACACAAGAAGAATTGTTGAAGCAAGTTGATACTTGGCTTATAAATGTTGAGCAACAAGTAATGTGTTTATATTATTATTTTTCATATTTATAGCTTGCGTCTTTGTTTTTGTTTCATTTTGGTTCAATAGTAATGACTATATTGTTACCTGTTTAAATCTTTTGAGACTCTACACAAGTTTCTATGTGCTAATCAAGTCCTTTACCCTTCTTGAGTCTTGTACTTGTGTTAGATGGTTGTGCATTGAACCATGTATTGCTTTCTTTTCACTTGATTATACACATATAGCAATCTTCTTTTTCAGTTAGCAGATATTGAACTAGCAAGCAAGCAGAAGGCTGTGTTTGAAAGTTTGAAGGCCGGTAATGATGCAATGAAAGCCATTCAAAGTGAGATAAACCTTGACGATGTTCAGAAACTTATGGATGACGCTGCTGAGGCTAAAGCTTATCAAGATGTGAGTATGGCTTTACTATTGTGCTTACACTTTCAGTTCTAATGCTTATGCAAACTGATTTCCGTGTCTATCTTTTTTATACTAAGGTTGTTCCTTTTTTTGGGTGGGTAGATGGGGGCAGGGGGTGTTGAAATAGATTTGCAATTGTTTGATTCAGCTGTAAGTGTTAAATAGCTGCTGTTGGACGATTGTATTTTGAAATATGTCAAATCCACGATTGCAACTCCTTTTGCAATTGCGGCCGTTATGAGTGTTATTGGGCCATGTTTTCTATGTATGCGGGGTGTGTGTGTATATATATATATATATACACACATTTCAGGCGCCTGCAATTTTGCCCACAATGCTATCCGCTATATGCAGATTATTGGCCTATTGTTTAGCTGCTATTTCTCTGTTTGCAACTTTTTTATATGCTCTGTTTACATTTGATGCTCACTGAAGGTTTTCATAATTTTGTGAATTTGAAGGAAATTAATGCAATCCTGGGGGAGAAGCTATCAGCAGAAGACGAGGAGGATATTTTAGCAGAATTTGAAGACTTGGAAACCCAGGTATATGCTTATGCTTTCCCATTTTTTATAATTTGGTATTAGATTTAACTTCTATTCACCCCAATATGAATACCATCCATGCAAATTGTTCCAATTGAATTATTGGTTTAATCAAGATAGTGTGGATTATGGAAGGGACATAAGTTATTATGTTTCAGTTTACCCTTTTCCATACTGTACATCTTTGCTGCGGAATTACATGGGCATATATTATTTTTGTGCTAGCCAAGGTTAATAGAGAGCTCTTCTTTTGTAGGTTAAATTTGCTTACTTTTTTTTTTGTTACGTTGAATTGAGTATCTAAGATTATTTGTAGCATGTAACTCTATGGTAGACAGTAATTCGTGTTAGCTTCTTTGCAATGTTTCGAGCAAGTGATTGACTGCAGAGAAAATGAAACTGAAATTAGGAATATGAAACAAAATGAAATACTCGCTTAAGTAGGAAAAACAATACTTAATCAAAGAGGCTTAGATATGGAAATTTGACGGAGTTCGATTTATTGCTTCAGCTTACAGTCCAAGATCTTCCTGAAGTTCCTCACTCAGCTCACGAAGAAATTGAAGAAAAGTTGGACCTTCCTGATGTCCCAACCAAAGCACCAGTTACCAGTGATGCTGAAGTATCCACGAAAAGAAAAGGTATCCATCTGATCTTCCCCTTTCGTCTGCCACCCAAATAAAATAAAAATAATAGAGGAAATGAAATTAACTAACTTTTGATTAATTACTTACGATGCAAACAGTTATGGAGGAACCGTTGGCAGCTTGAAGAACATTGTGACCCAAAACATGTCAATTGCTTTGCAAACCAAGTTGTACAATCTGATTTTGTGTTTGCCTGTACCCTTACGAATTTCGTTGAAAAATTCCTGCAGCAACTGGAGTTTGATTGATTTTACTATCTGCAGTGGCATTTAATTTGTACAGATTTGCATGTATAATTATACATGAGTTTTAAAAGAAGAGTTATAGACTGAGAAAATCATACCATTTGTCCTCCCCCATTCTCCTTTTTCGACTACTTTCACATTATTTACGTTAGATACTTCAAGTTTCAGAAGAAATAAAATAACTGTCAGAATCAAATCAAAATATTTATTAAATATTGGGTACTAAAAATATTGAGAAAAATTTAGAGGTGTCAATTTTAATATGAATCAATCTTTTAGTTGCCAAAAACTATATAATTCAAATAAACATCAACAACTGAATAATGATTCTACTAGTGTCATAATCTAACTTTAAGAAATTAAAAAATGAACAAAAAACATTTTAACTATATTCTTTAAAATCTCTGAACTTTTTAGTCTTTGTTTTGAGCTTGTGTGTTCGGAGCCAACAATACTCTTAGATTATCTTTAGTGATGTGTATAAATGTGTTCTCAAACTAAGAATTTGTTTTTTCATTGGAGAAGAACAACTCATAAGAGGACGTTCTTAATCAAACATCAATAAAAAATGGAAGGAAATAATAATCTTTTAAGGTATTGTTAAAGTAGGAGAACGATCCTTTTCCTTTTCTCTATCAAACAACTATGTACTTCAATGTTTTTCTTACTCTTTGCTCCAACGGTTACCAAACTTATCCTAAATTAACGAAGAAGATTTTTTTTTGTCTCTTCCTAGCGGATAGGAAAAAAAAAAGTAACAATATTAGTGGTTATTAATTACTCATGCAGTAATTAGTTAGAATTATCATAATTTATCGTATATATTCATTAAACTCATAGTTTGGAAAATTTAACGAGTTATTTGGTTTCAATTTTTTTTATTTTATTATTATTTTCAATTGACGCAAGTGATAACAATTTGTCTCTTCACCATTTGATCCAAGATTTTTTTTTAATCTTAGTACCAATATCATGATTACTAAAATTTTTGGAAAAATGATTTATTTTTCTCTTATTTTTTATAGAGAATGAAAATTCATTGTCGTTATTTCCTATATAAAACTTTATAAACAAAAAGAATGAAATTAAACTGAAAATTTTTAGTTAACAGTAAAAATAGAAAGAAAATAAAAACTTCTACCAAATAGTCCATACTCCATCGCATTCCCATATAAATGCCATTTTAACCATATTTCACAACAACATTCTGACTAGTGGGAAAAATTTAAGCATAAAAACGAAACATTATCTGAAATCTTTTAAGCATCATACGTATATAAAACATTCTTAGAAATCAGGGTTAGGAGGAACATTATTGGTAGATAAATATAAATTACTACAAATGAAAAGAAGAACTGTATACTACTAGATATGTCTACAAAACCAACCCAATCCATTAATATTAACATTAATAAAATACAAGGGGATAGAGTATCTTGTCTGTATGCCGTATGCATAACAGTGTAAACATTATATTAAGTTTGACCGCTGCTATCCATTTTCTTGATAACCAGGCAAATGAGTCGAATTTTATTGGTAGAGTAATTATTTATTGGCTAGTATTTACACATTGTACGATATCCAAACTTTCAGATGTAATTTACATAAAATCTTTCAACATCATCCACACTAACAATATCTTGCAAATTAAAATCACTGTATCATAAATCTAAATGAGTACTACCCTCTCCTTGAGAAGTTGCAGACAAATTGGACGAATTCACACTTACTTTTCCAAAATATCTCGACAATATGAGTCGGGCAATATTTTCCGCTGCCACGGCACTTGTCTCCATGGTGCTAGCTGCATTTTCAAATGCATTAACGTAGTATAGATGCCTCCTGTCCAATATAAATGGCGCAAATACTTCCGGGGCGTGGTAATGAGGATATGCAGCCCAGTTTATAAGAATGGTCTCCTTCCTCACACTGCCAGTAGTAGCAATCAACAAAATGTTACAACCTGGTTCAAGTTTTCTTTTTCTCGTTTTTGTGGGAGGGAGGGAAATGGGACGGTACTTGATAGAAAGCTCAACAAGTAAATGTCAACATCTGGTTCGAAACCATATGTGTCCAACTTGCACCTTAGGACTAAATGATTGGGTTTGGCTCTTTAAAGTGAGTAAGAATAAGTGATTTCGGTTGTTGCTAAAAAAAAAATAAACAGTTGATATTTCGACGCCATTTGTTATGTATGTTCACGTAATGACAATTGATTTTTTGTCAAGGACTGAGATTAACTACTTCACACCCAAAATAAGGTGCTCACTTATGAGAAGCTGAATACTAAATGATTAGTCATAACCCATATTGTTATTATTATGGACTAGACCCCTTTTCCAACTGGGCAGATTTGTAAAGAAGATTTTGGTAAACAACCATCAGCATAACTTCAGTGTCAAGGAACAGGAAATTAATTAACAAAATAGCTGATATTATTACCTGAAGATGCTATCCAGTAATGTGTCTTCCATTGGTTGACGAGAGAATAATTTGTAAGTGGATTCTTTTTCATTGTGCTTCTTGAGAACTGCAATGCATGAAAATGGAAGGCTAGGATCCTCTATTGTGCCCACAAGATCAGGAATTTTTGTCGCAGCCTTGAGACCAAAATATTCCTAGTGCACAAGAGAGCAAATCCATCAGACACCAACCATATATATGAAGATATACACGACTGCAAAATACTAACAAAATTTTTTATGACTCAGGTCTCAAAACACTCACAGGGTTCAGAAGGCCCCTGACAAAAGTTGTATACGTGTGCTGCAATTTTCTCTCAGGAATTGAAATTGGGGGAATAAATTGAATATCTAACTCATCCAATGGTGTAGCAACCACAGTAACTTCACATCTGTAACTGTTTCCTTTAGTTGAGTTGAGTTCATAAAAATCTCCAAGGTCAGCGACAGACTTTATTTCTTCATGCAGGTGTAATGCAACATCTGACTGATTAATCAATCCAGCAGCCATTTGCCAGTTGCCTCCTTGGATGGACCATAATCCCGCACCTGATCCTGCCAGAGAAACTGCACCTCCCAACCCACTCATGGAGACACTTTGACCATAATTAATGCGTGTGATGACCTGCATAAATTAACAGAACAGAAGTCCAATTTCTGATCAGTTACTTTAAATCTCAGACATTGATCCATTATAAAGGTGCGACATCTTTTGCTCTCTAGTTTTGAAGTGTTGACCATGAGCTCATGGCTCCCCAAATTGTTCGTCACTAAATAGGCAGTTGAACAACACCAGCCCCCCCTCCCCAACAACAAAAAAAGGATTGTGTACATCCCGATAAGCACAAAAAAAGAAAAGTTTTGTAATTCTGTAACAGTGAAAAAATGACATTCCCTTCATAACAAAGCACCCCTAGTCTACCACAATAGCTGCTAGCAAATGATAACCAAAATCGTGCCATCAATGCACTCGGCAGAATCGCCAAAACAATAATAATGCATTAGAGCTACATTTTAAAGGATAGAAAGAATTCTTACAGTGACAAGTTCGTTGATCAACAAGTCAGACAACCCAGCATCAACCAATTCATCTTGCAAAGTCCTTGAAGTAAGATTATACAGACCAGCCCATTGCAGCATCTCATCCACAGTCTCAAAAATAGGTCTCGAACTAGGTTCCTCATAGTACTTTAAGAATCTCTCCACAGTATTCTAAATTAAATTAAGCTTCATCAGAAAACAATATAGCTATACGAATAACCTATTCTCTCTCACAACCCACACCCCACCCCACATCCCATCACTTTCATTAACTAAACCTTTTTGCATTGTTGGTTAATTACAGGTAATTTATTAATTAAGAAAGAGTTTAGTTTATACTACAAAATAAATACCTATTAGATATTTATGAAAAAATATTTGCTATTATTGTGTACTATAGAAATGAAATTCTGGTCTTTCTTCATAACTTCACCTTGTGTTGCCAAGCGAGTCACTCCTCCGTGCGTATGACTGTATTATTCCTCAACAAATCAGATCTTTATTTGTTAAGGAACCCTACACTTGGCGTCTATAAACCTAATATTTGAACTTGTAAAATCTGTATCTATACTAGTAAACATGTTCTCATTTGACAAAGATTCATTTAGTAAGAGTAATTTACTCAACCAACTAGTAACTATAATGGTTAAATGGTTGAAATACCTCAACGAAGTTTTGCATCTTAAAGAGCGAGAAGCCGTAGCGAAGGAAAATGCGAGCGGAATTAAAGAACGATACGATAGTATCCACAAACGGGAGCTTCAGGAGCTTATTAATGAGGGGAACGTTGGAACTAAGCGTAAGAGTTTTGAAGACGAACTTGTTCCCATCCCAAATACCGAGAGAGAGGGAATCCGAACCACCAGGCTCATTAACCTTCAGGTTCAGAATCTTCACGTAATCCACTGTGTGCAGGTTCTTCGGATGGAGAATGGAGGCTCCGGCCTCGAAGCTCTCGCCCGCCACCGTCACGGTGGCCATGCGGCCCCCGACGACGCCGTTGCGTTCGAAAACTCGGATATCGGTGGCCGGAGCGGACTCCGGGGAGTATTTACGGAGGAAATGGGCGACGGAGGATCCGCCGATGCCGGCGCCAACGATGCAGACGGTGGAGGACGGTGGCAGAGAGTCATCGGAGAGTGATTGAGCTTGGGAGAGCGCGAGAAAGGTCAACAGGAAAGGGAGTGTGAGAGACATCATCATCTACAACAATCCTCACCATTCATTGTTCCCTGTGAGCTCTTGCTGTTTTATTTTGAATTAAATATTTTTTTATACATAAAAAATATATATATTCGCAATCTGGAAAATTTCAAACTTCCATACTGTATTTTTTTAATTTTTTAGGAATGATTCTTTCTAACTTTTTTAAATTTTATATAATTATTCAATCAGAATATAAAAAATGGATTGAAATAGTACTAAAAATAATTTATAATGGTATTTGTTTTTTTTATAGATATAAAAAGTTCTTTTTTCACCAAAGCAATAACATGCTATAAAAGGAATAGAATATTTTCAGGAGAATTGAAATTCAGACCAAACATGATAAGTTAAGCTCCAATGTAATCCTTTGACAAATAAGTTATGTGTGGTTATATAATTTATTTCATGTTAGGATGAGAAAGTGGAAGCCACATATGAGCTCGTGCAATTTCTTTTGTTGATCATTAATAAATGTTATAATGTTCCGTACTCGTACTATTTACATGTTTTGTCGACGAAGATAGGCCAAAATATACCGTTTCAAGAAATAATGTTATATCCTTTTATAAACGTTCACAATGTTTTGTCTTCAACATTTTTTTAAATTCACTTTTTGTTCCTTTACTTTTACAAATGTATAAACCTTGTTCCGATAAAATTTTAATTACATATTTTATTTTATAAAATTAAATTAGTCCAATATTAATATGTCCGCTAATTGTTTTAAAAAGTACCTATCTAATAATAATAATAATGTCAATCACTCGTTACAAATATTTTTAATGCATGTTATTTTAATGGATATATTAATATATTTTTTAACGATTGAATAATGAATATGCATTGTGATCAAAATTGCTTAATTTTAAAAAATTTGGATCCACCACCAAATAAAAGCACGCTTGTGCTTTTTCACCTCCCGTGATAGTGTGTATTAAAAAGCTTCTGCATTATACGTTTTAGATGGATTAAAAAATAATTCCAAATACATTCCTAAATGAATAATCTGAACTTGATTTTTAACTATCTTAAATTAATTATTCGAATATCCTATTATAAAATTTATCATTACAAAGCGAACTTTTCATAATAATTTTGAATCTACTCTAGATTTTTTTTAAATGACTATAGAATTATAAAATCTAAACTTCTAGAAAAGTTTTATAGAATAAAACTTGATACTTTTAAGGATCTGCTATGGGTCTGTATACGAAGATCTCAACATGAAGCAACGTTTTGCATCTTTTGATGAATTATTCTTGTTAGTATTTTAGGAATGATAGGAAAGATAGTTTGATGTTTAGTAGTGAGATTTGTGTAGAAAATAATTTTTAGAAAGAGGTGGACAAATAGGAGAAGATTTGTACAAGGAAAGATAGTAATTGATCTTGGAAGTGCTACAAGATATGTAAGAGCTTGTATTAGATTTTCCACACATATAAATACTCCCTTCATGCCTATTTATAGGCTTTAATTACAAGATTCTAGAATTTTCTACTAATTTCATTGTTTCTACACTATTCTATTTCTACACATTTCTTCTTCTTTTTCTTTTTCTAGAATCATGTTGTAGCTTCTACTAGTATACATATGTTTTCTACATAATTCTAGAAGTTTTACATAATTCTAAATTTTCTTAATTCTAGAATTATCTATCTTCTACTTTCAAACATTTCTAGAATCTTCTAAGGATTCTAGATATTACTCATATGTAATTTCTAATTTTAGTAACATCTAAGATTTTATATTCTAGATCTTTCTAGAATTTGTATCATCTTTCAACACTCCTCCTTGATGCAAATTCTTGTAACTCCAAGCATGAAACGTAATTGTTCAAACTTGGCTCTTGGTAGTGCCTTGGTAAATATGTCTGCAATTTGATCTTCTGTAGTGCAGTACTCAAGTTGAATTTGTTTAGTCGCTTCAGCCTCTCTGATGCAGTGGTATTTAATAGCTATATGTTTTGTTCTTTGATGATGAACAAGATTTTTCGTCATTGCTATTGCTAATTTGTTGTCGCAATATTATACTTGAAGAAATGGGCGAACCACAAGATGGACCAACTACTATCTATTGCGACAACAAATCAGCAATAGCAATGACGAAGAATCATGTTCATCATCAAAGAACAAAACATATAGCTATTAAATATCACTTCATTAGAGAGGCTGAAGCGACTAAACAAATTCAACTTGAGTACTGCACTACAGAAGATCAAATTGCAGACATATTTACCAAGACACTACCAAGAGCCAAGTTTGAACAATTACGTTTCATGCTTGGAGTTACAAGAATTTGCATCAAGGAGGAGTGTTGAAAGATGATACAAATTCTAGAAAGATCTAGAATATAAAATCTTAGATGTTACTAAAATTAGAAATTACATATGAGTAATATCTAGAATCCTTAGAAGATTCTAGAAATGTTTGAAAGTAGAAGATAGATAATTCTAGAATTAAGAAAATTTAGAATTATGTAAAACTTCTAGAATTATGTAGAAAACATATGTGTACTAGTAGAAGCTACACCATGATTCTAGAAAAAGAAAAAGAAGAAGAAATGTGTAGAAATAGAATAGTGTAGAAAAAGAATAGTGTAGAAACAATGAAATTAGTAGAAAATTCTAGAATTTTGTAATTAAAGCCTATAAATAGGCATGAAGGAAGTCTTTGTATGTGTGAAAAATCTAATACAAGCTCCTACATATCTTGTAGCACTTCCAAGATCAATTACTATCTTTCCTCGTACAAACCTTCTCCTATTTGCCCACCTCTTTCTAAAAACTATTTTCTACACAAATCTCACTACTAAACATCAAACTATCTTTCATATCCTTCCTAAAATACTAACAGTGGTATCAGAGCTACGTTCGGTCACCTACTGGGTGTAGAGAAAATTTTTCGACTACCTTTAAAAAATCCAATCCCACTACACATTACTTCCAAAAGAAAATTTTCAACCTATGACCACTACCAACCAAACATCATCCATTCCAGTTCCTATTTTTAAGGGAGAAAATTATAATTTTTGGAGAGTCAAAATGAGGACATTTTTTTGTTCTCAAGATCTTTGGGACGTCATAGAAGATGAGTTCACTATTCCAGAAGACATCTCAACTCTTACAGTTTCCCATAGGAAGGAGCTGAAGGAAAACAAACAGAAGGATTCAAGGGCATTATTCACTCTTCAGCAAGCAGTTGATGACACTATTTTTCCAAGAATAATGGGTGCCACAACTGCAAAGGAAGCTTGGAATATAATTCAGGAGGAGTTTCAAGGAAGTGATGAGGTACACAATATTAAACTTCATTCACTAAGAAGAGAATTTGAGTTAATAAGAATGAGTGAATCTGAGACCATAAAAGATTATTATTCTAGAATAAAAGAAATAGTTAGTCAGATGAGAGCCTATGGGGAAAATATTCTTGACAAGAAAGTTGTTGAGAAAATTCTAATTTTTATTCCCCAAAAATATGATGCAATTGCAACTGTAATTGAACAAACAAAAGATTTATCTACATTATCGGTGACACAACTAATAGACTCTCTTGAAGCATATGAACAAAGATTGCAAAGGCGTGAAGAAGACTCAGTCGAAAATTCCTTTCAATCAAAACTAAAATTATGGTCTCAAAATGAAGGAAATAAAATTAATAGAGAACTTTCTAGGAATAAGGAAAACTCTAGAAATTTTTCCAAGAGTATTCAAGGAAAATATCCTCCATGTGGCACTTGCAAAAAGACAAGTCACTTGGAAAAAGATTGTTGGCATCGAGGAAAACCTCAATGTCAATACTGTAAGAAATTTGGACATGTAGAGAAAATTTGTCGCAACAAAAATCATCAACAGGCAAATTTTACCGAAGAACGGGACAGAGAACAACATCTCTTCTATGCTACGGGATGCTTTGACAATGAATCAAAAGGAAGATGGTACTTGGACAGTGGGTGTAGTAACCATATGACGAATGATCCAAGCATCTTCAAAGAAATTGATAACTCCATCAAAGTTCAAGTGCGATTGGGAAATGACACCGTGGTAGAGTCAAAAGGAAAAGGCAGTGTTATGGTGGAGACCAAGAAAGGTATGAGACTTATCAATGATGTCTTACTAGTTCCCAATCTTAAAGAAAATCTCTTAAGTATTGGTCAAATGATGGAGAAAGGATATACTATCCACTTTGAAAGAGATACATGCACTATCTATGATAAGAAAAATATAGAGATTGGCCAAGTAAAAATGGAAAAGAGAAATAGAAGTTTTTCTATAAGCTTCAATCGAGGAACTAACATTGCCATGAAAGTAGAAGTTGATGACTCGTGGCTATGACATCGTAGATTTGGCCACTTCAATACTCATGCCTTAAAGCTACTACATTAAAAAGGCACGATGAGAGATCTACCAAGCCTTAAGGAGAGTAGTGAAGCTTGTGAAGGATGTCTACTGGGAAAGCAACACAGATTACCATTTTCTATGGGAAATACTTGGAGAGCAAAAGACTTGTTGGAGTTAATCCACACAGATATTTGCGGACCAATGAGGATTCCATCGCTTAATAACAACAGGTACTTCATTCTCTTCATTGATGATTTTTCTAGAATGACTTGGGTCTACTTCATCAAAGCAAAATCAGAAGTCTTTAGAATATTCAAGAAATTTAAGGCCCTTGTCAAAAAGCAAAGCGGAAAACAAATAAAGGTGCTCAGGAGCGATCGAGGTAAAGAGTACACCTCCCACGAATTTGATAAATTCTGTGAGGATGAAGGTATTGAGCGACAACTTACAGTCGCATTCTCCACAACAGAATGGTGTCTCGGAGAGAAAAATCGCACTATCATGGAGATGGCAAGATCGATGTTGAAGGAGAAAGGCTTGCCAAATACGTTTTGGGCAGAAGCAGTTTACACTGCTGTATATATACTCAATAGATGTCCAACTAAGGCAGTTCAAAACAAGACTCCTATTGAATCTTGGAGTGGAAGAAAACCATCAGCTA